GCAAACAAATTGCAAAGAGATGGGCCTCAGCAGTAGTCACTTCATATAGATCAGAAAAGTCAAACGATATCAAAAGAGGATTCGGCAAAGGTACAACATCAAAGTTTTCTTTTCAAAACATCAGACACACAATGAAAAACAACCTCGTCCATGTAATAGACTCCAAATTCCAAAGGATTTACAATCGAATTGTGTCTATAAAATAAAATGCTTCGAATGTGATGTGATATACATCGGGCGTAAATTGTGAGAAGCCAAAATCATAAGAAGTGAACACCGTAGAGCATCTATTCGACCACCGAGAAATCTAGTTGAACTACAAAAGTTTGAACAATCATCAGCCATAGGGTTGTCTACACGCTGTAGAATCAGGCCAAAACATTGATTTTGACAATATTGGGATAATCCAGAAAAAGCATTTCAGAAATCACAAAGAACATTTCATATCACCAGAAGCACTTCATATCTAATGGAATCCAAATTGTTTGAGCTGAACAGGAATGATGAACTAAAACAGAATTTGACCTGGTTACAACAGCCCCCTTCCCTAAGAAACGACAAAATCAACACGAATGTGATTAGCAATTTCATTATGTAAACACGTGCTGCTTTTGTAATCTTATACACTTATCAAATCCAACAATCTGCACTTAGTTTTGTTACTTTTACCAAGTGATCAATTTGACAACACTAAGTGACCCCTTGCTGATGAACAATGATTAAGTTGTTTTAAATGTAAAAGTCAATCTGAACGAAGAATATTCATTTCACAATAATTTCTCCTCTTCAGATCCTTACAATTGATTTTTATATTCCTTCTTGTTCCCAGTGGAACATCGGGGCTCAAGCTAGAAGCTTGAAGTTCCTGTAGCAATGTTTATTTCTACAGGATGGGGTTGCTACCCTGATGCCCAATCTTTTCCTCTTTGCTAGCTTTATTTCTGGCCTAGCGAGGTAAAGGGGTGCGACAGCGGCCGGGGATCGAACACCAGACCATATGCATGGTTGGCGAGCGTCCTAACGGCTATGCCAATTGCAAAACAATAAAAATATTTGTTGTCGTTACAATAATGATAGCCAGTTATGTGGTAGATACGTAGAATAACAGATTAGTTATGGGGTGTCAAAATAAATAGTATGCTTGTGTTGATATAAGTATAAAACTTGGGCACTGTGGTAGAGAATAACTGCATTATGGATAAGATTTTTACTGTTATAAATCACACAGTGTTATACAGTAATATTAACTAATGACGTTTCGAGCACAAACTATTGTTCATAATCGTATAAGTGGGAAACGAAAAGACCTGGATATCCTGGACCGACATGAAGAATCTAGAAGACCTGGATTTCGCGCGTGGATGATTTATGTTTGATGTCACACAAAATCGAAGACTTACAAGCGAAAACCGACAAACTGGTAGAAGAAGCAGCAAAGACAGGACTCCAGGTGAACATAGACAAGACGGAGGATATGAAAATAACCAACCAACAACAACAACAACAGCAGCAGCAACATCCAGCGCCAGTCACCATCAACCGGAGGGATTTGAAAGAGGTTACTTCTTTCACTTATCTAGGGAGGGAGCATTGTCTCAACCACAGGAGGAACGGACGGACGAGGATGTCAAATCGAGAATCGGGAAGGCGAGAAACACATTCATCAACCTGAAATCAATCTGGAAATCTTCCTCACTCAGCCTGCATCAACAACAAAATTCGGATTTTCAATGCAAACGTCAAGTCAGTCAGTTCTTCTATACGGATGAGAAACTTGGCGGGTCACAAAGAATATTTCCAACAGCCTGTTGCACACCTTTATCAACAATAACTGTCTTCGTTCTATACTGAAGATCAGATGGCCACCGGAAAGAATCACCAACAAGAAACTATGGGAACAAAGAAAACAAGAACCAATCACCCAACAAATATTCAGGAGAAAGTGGAGATGGATTGGACACTCGCAGAGGAGGCCGCTGGGTGACATCACGCGTCAGACCAATGCTCGAGTGGGATGTCCAAGGGTGACATGGAGGAGATCGTGTGAAGAGGAGTTGAAACAGAATGGACTAACATGGATGCAGGTGAAAAGTACAGCAGAAGAGAGAAACAAGTGGAGACGTGCAGTTGAAGTCCTATGTTCCACTAGGAATCCATGGGAACAATAATAATAATAATGCTTGTGTGACAAACGTGCCAGGCTGAAATCGATTACGAAATATTTTATAAAATAGGAGACGATGGTGGTGATTAGTCATAATAGATTTGTAAAGTGTGGGGTTCCCAAGAGAAATAACTATCCAAACAACTTCGACAAAATCGACACCGACGATAAATATGGTTGTAAATATATTCAAATCAGATCACAAACGTCATACGCTATCCAAAGAGTACTCAATGAGCACAGCATTAGAGTTTTCTTCAAAAAATCAATTATGTTATTCTTAAGCTTTGCAATCTCATCTTTATGTATGTAGTACATTGTCAAAGCATTGAGACGACTGTCTCCAAGGAGACAGTCATCAAAAATATAGGTTTGAAGTGATTATTATGGTCAAGCGAAACTATCACGGTCGAGGTGTGCGAACGCACTAGTGACCTTGAACGGATGCTAGTCGTCAGATAACAGGATAAACTGTCATTAAAGCGCCAATATGAACTTTGTTCATCACATGACGTGACATACATGAACTAGTTAGTTCCCATGATGCCTGTAGCATAGATGGCACTGAAACTGAAACCAAGTCAAGCATTGAATACCTTGGATTAGTTCTTTCCTCTGACCTTTCATGGTCATTCCACATCTTATCAATCTCTTAGAAAATGTTTCGTCATAGCTTCTACATTAAAAAGTTAAGACAATCAGGTATCAACCAACCTTTACTTCTGCAATTTTTAAACTCCTACATTTTACCTATTGTACTCTATTGCTCTCCATTAATCTTTCCTGGGTTTCTAAAAAAGACTATGTCATACTGCGAGGGATATTAAATGCTGTGAGTAGGGCTTGTGACATACCACTGCTTGAGCTCGCCAATATTATTGTCGAGAGACATATAAAATCCTGTACAAAATAGGCAAAGACCGTACTGTCAGACCCCCTGCACCCCGTTTATTCACAACTATCCCCTTGTATTTCATCAGGTAGGACGAGAAGTCAATACGAGAAGTTATATGCTCGCACAACTAAGTACACAAATTCTACAATACCCTATTTAACCCGTATTTTATGTGATGGAGACACTCACTGTTAGACGTGAAACATATAAATAAGTTACTATGTCATTAGCAAAGTGAATCGACCCTTTCATCGTTCATCTTTCTGTAATTTTATGGTGTCACCCTTTCTATCGTTTAGTTATAACTTTGCTATTTTTATTTTAGTTGCTATTACTATTATTACTACAATTTTATACTTTATGCATATTTGTCTCCTTATCGTAAACTGTAATTGCTACATAGCTACTAAAACAACGTTTTGTTATTATTATTATGTGATTGTCTATTTTTTTGTCATTTTGAGTAAATTAGATGCAATATTGTACTGAATGCTGAAAATTCCTTGCTGTATCATTAGTACTGTTTTTGGAATAAAGCAAAAATTATTATTATTATCATATTACATAGATAACTGTTCCCCAACTTGAGACTTAGGAAGTGCAGACGAATTGGACATGCACTGAAGAGACTGTGGAGTAGAAAATCATGCTTCAGACAGTCAAGTGATTGGAACTCGGCTGGGAAACACCGAGACTGGCGTTGTTCCCGAAAGTAACATTGAGGAGATTGTGTGCAGTGAGTGGACGAAAGCTTATTAGGCAACCGTGGAGTCAGCTGACAGAGTGAAGTGGATATATGCTTCTGAAGACCTGCGCATTCCACTCAGGATCCAAGGGAATAATAAGAATTATAGTAACCTGGAACTATTGAATATAATCTTACCAACAAGAGTTCTTGTGCGGAAAATAATCTGAACACTGAAGGATATCTCCACGTGTAGGTGGCTTTCGTGATATTAGATAATTATTATTATTGTTCCCATGGGTTCCTAGTGGAACATAGGGCTTCAAATGCACATCTCCACTTGCTTCTGTCTTCTGCTGTACTTTTCACCTGCATCCATGTTAATCCATACTGTTTCAACTCCTCTTCACACGATCTCCTCCATGTCACCCTTGGACGTCCCACTCGAGCATTTGTCTGACGCGTGATGTCACCCAGCGGCCTCCTCAGCCAGTGTCCAATCCATCTCCACTTTCTCCTGCATATTTGTTCAGCGATTGGTTCTTGTTTTGTTTGTTCCCATAGTTTCTTGTTGGTGATTCTTTCCGGCGGCCATCTGATCTTCAGTATAGAGCGAAGAAGACAGTTGTTGATAAGGGTCTGCAACAGGCTGTTGGAAATATTCTTTGTGACCCACCAAGTTTCTGATCCATACGTATAGAAGAACTGACTGACTTGACGTTTGTATTGAAAATCCGAATTTTGTTGTTGATGTTGAGTGACGAAGATTTCCAGATTGATTTCAGGTTGATGAATGTGTTTCTCGCCTTTCCGATTCTCGATTTGACATCCTCGTCCGTCGGTTTCTCCTGATGTTGAGACAATGCTCCCTCCCTAGATAAGTGAAAGAAGTAACCTCTTTCAAATCCCTCCCGTCGATGGTGATTGGCGCTGGATGTTGCTGCTGCTGCTGTTGTTGTTGTTGGTTGGTTATTTTCATAACCTCCGTCTTGTCTATGTCCACCTGGAGTCCTGTCTTTGCTGCCAGCCTCTTCGACCAGTTTGTCGGTTTTCGCTTGTAAGTCTTCGATTTTGTGTGACACCAAACATAAATCATCCGCGAAATCCAGGTCTTCTAGGTTCTTCACGTCGGTTCAGGATATCCCTGTCTTCTTGTTTCCCACTGTCTGTAATAACTTGCTTAACTCTAGTTACGCTTTTCGGTTTGTTTAAATTGTTGCAATGTCATCTTTTACTGTTATTCTTTGTTCTTATAGCACTGCTTTACAATATCGTATCGTAAAGAAGGCGTACGACAGTATGATCTACGCGCTGACACTGAAGAAGAATGTTCCATGTGGGTTGAAGCGATCAACAGTGCAAGGTAAGTTGAAAAAAATAAAAATGTATTGAAAATTATGTAATAATTCGTCTAACGAATATATATATATCAGACAGGTTTGACCACGAGTTGGCACCGGTTAGAAAGAATTTTAGAGATTGACGGTATTGACGTTCACGGATTTTATGGAGTACACTAACGCAAGATCTAATACCCACAACTTCTACAGTATTCGTTCCACGTAGACCAAATTACGAGATATATTTCGGGACCAAATTAGAGTGCGAGATGATTGCTTAGCTGGCTAGTGATCGTGCACGAACGTCACACGATGGAGTACCAAATGGCGTGGATGCTTGACCGGAAGCTTTCAGCTAAACAAGTCGACTTAAACAGTGAGGGTCAGCATCCAATGTTCAGTGATGGATGATTGCTGCGGTCAATAATTTTGGGGAATTATTTACCGCTACAGAATCATTGGAAAACCAGCAGGAAGTACTGGACAGCTGTTTCGTCCTGGTCCTTTGGTACTTTTCCTCAATGTGTACCTACCCACTTACCGGCCACCCGGACTCGATCCAACTGCCAACCCATGAATTCCAACTCCTGCCAATTCACCATATACCGCGGCTACACTAGCCAAAGTCATCTCTAGCGAGTATTTGTCCGCACACCGAATAATTCTCTTCTTTCACACTGATTTAATAACCTAAGACTGTTAACCAATTTTGAGAGGGGGAAAATTTATTGATTGGTTGATTGATTAATTTTACGGATAACTGTCAGTCATATTATCTGATGTGGAAGAAAGAAGCTTTTTATAGGTTGAATGTGGGAATTTTTCCCATCAGATACCTATGATAACCATGATAACAATTATTATTCGTTAAAATTATCATTATGAATGCCCTAATGATTGGTTTTTTTCAGCACAGAGATTTTATGCCTGTGTTGATAATATCCCCTTCCAGTATGGGTGCTTTGATGATTCTTTAGTATGAAGATGACGTCGTAATGATGAAAACTGATGGATGTGTTTTTGTTTGAACTTAGTAAACCATCGGTGGTGGACCCAATTGGACAAAATAATATAATTTACAAAAAACCTCACAATGACTGCGAGTGAGATCAACTACATAGGTCAAACCAGTAGGTCGGGGGTAGTCAGATTGTCAGAACATAAGAATTTAGCTAAGGTAATAATGGTTGATCCCGAGGAGATAAGTGATTTGGAAAAACGTTCAGCAATTGCACTGCATGCATTAACACTCAACTACACAATAGGATGGGAGAGGGTTAAGATTCTAAGAAGTAATCTATGTAGGTGGAGAGAGAGGTTGATTACTGAATCCTACCTGGTTCGTCGAGTCTACACTCAACACATGCAACAGAAATGACTCAATGCAAATACCAGAAATATGGAAGATATTATTACCACCAGTCAGTTAAATCAGAGGAGGATAATAAATAATCTCAAAATTCTATTTCAATTCACGCACATCATAACATTCGAACAAGTTACTTGTTATGACTATAAAAACGCTCGTCTTATTTCCCATCTGATTATATTTGATCAATAACACTCATATTGATTTTTATTCAAATGTCTAATCATCAATTCCACTCATGTAAATAAATGAAGGAAAGAAGTTATGTGAGTAACTTGATATGATTATGAGTGGCAATAGTTTGTGTTCGAAACGTGGTCATCAGTGAATATTACTGTACAACAGCACTGTGTGATTTATCAAAATAAAATCTTATCCATAATGGAGCTATACTCTACCACCGCAGTGCCCAAGTTTTGCACTTATATCAAGAACTCCCTTGAGTTACACGACGCAGATATGCAGCTATTTCCGATCAAATATACGATACTATTTCACAATAACAATAATAACATTCCAAAAGCCCAAAGTTACCTCAACGATGCTGTTAAGGGTAGCTATACAGATCAGGTCACGTCTCAGACACAAAATAAGTACGTGTGTACATTAGGTTTGTCCCATAAGAATAAAAATATGTTAGGGTAATTGTTGTTGTCAAGACACTTCAAAAATGTGATGAATAACAAGACTGTAACCAGGGGAGAGCGTCGGTGGTATAGTGGTTAGGACGCTCGCCGACCATGCACATGGTCCGGGGTTCGATCCCCGGCCACTGGACGCACTCCTTTACCTCGCTAAACCAGAAATAAACCTGGTGAAGAGGAAAGGTTGGGCATCAGGCTAGCGACCCCATACACTAAAAATAAACACTGCTACAGAAACTTCAAGCCACTAGCTTGAAGCCCTATGCTCCACTGGAAACGTGAAGGAAAAATTTCATGCAACCGGTTCCCTTTATTAGTTTGAAGGGAGAAAGAATGAACATGTTTGCAGGATAATACGAGCTCGTTTTATTTCGTGGATTCTCATCAACTGCATACATCCTAAACAAAATCAAATTATAGGTTTCAGGAAAGTTGTGGAACATACTTTTTCATAATTACTTTGAGTTATAAATAGAAGGGACAAGGAACATAATTCCAGAATTTGATATAGGTAGACAGGTTATTCGGTGTCAAAAACAACTAATTATATATAGTGAAATTAGATAAGAGGGGTAAGAGTTCAGATTTCTATTGGAAAACACAGATTAGTTAGAGGCATATTACAGGGTCAGGGTCAGAGAACAGAGTGAATTTACACATCTTGCGGTGGAGAGTTTAAGAGGGTGGGGGTAAATAGTGAAGTAACATTTATAACTTAAACAGACAAACAATTAAGTAGATTTAGAAACTTGAAGGTCAAAATTGAATAGAATGTTACGTAACAGGACAAACACACAGGCATACTGACAGAAAGGGAAAACAAAAATAAAATAAAATAATGTTAGGGTTACCAAGGTAGTGAAAGATTAATCACACTGTCTTTCTGTATACAAAGGTCTGGTCGAAATCTCTTCGAAGGAAAAAAAAACCAGGGGAGAGGTGAAGATTACTAAGAGAGTAGTGTTGATGCTTTGTCAAAATAACGTAGTTATTAATGTTAATGTTAGGAAGCACATAGAAACAAAGGAAAATATGGAATTGAGTAAGAGTTGATACAAGAATAGAACTTGTGCACTGTGGTGGTAGAGTATAATTCCATTATGGGTAAAATTTGTGTTGATAAAGTCTCACAACGTGTTTGTTATTCAGTAATATTTACTGATGAACACGTTTCAAGCACAATTTATCGCCACTCATAATCATATTAAGGCACTACTCACACGAATTTCTAACTTCGTTTACATAATTCCATTATTTTTCATTGCTTTATTTGATTGGTAGTAGTATTTTCCATATTTCTGGTATGAATGGTGAGTCATTCCTATTGCATGTGTTTGGTGTAGACTTGATGAACAAGGATTCAGTAATCAACCTCTCTCTCACTCTCCACCTACCTAGATTACTTTTTAGAATCTCAACCCTCTTCCATTCTATTGTGTGGTTGTGTGTTAATACATGCAGTGCAATTGCTGAGCTTTTTTCTAAATTACTTATCTTCTCAGGGTCAACCATTCTTACCTTAGCTAAATTCTTATGTTTCGACAATCTACCCCCCACCTACTGTAAATTATATTATTTTGTCTAATTGGGTCAACAGGATCCTATAACCTACAGAGCTTGTCCTATCTAAGTGAGTTTGGAGGTTTGAATACCACACCGTAACAGTTCTAGAAATTACAAATATTATAAGGAGTTCGAAAAGTTAAAACAAGCACACAGACATCAGGTCAGTAGAAGTCAACAGGGTAGAGGTGTTTGGATGATTTTCTTTTGTATGCATAACTCTGATTTCTCCAAATGAATGGCTAAGGCTTCAGCAATGCACAAAGGAGACAAAAGCTTATTGCCTTCAGTAGGTTATTCTGCACTTTGTAGATCACTTTGAAGGAGGTATTTGTTGAGATGAAATGATCAGTGTTGACGAGATGTTCGATTGTCGCAGTCCTTATGGAGCCAATGCTACATTTCTGCAACAAAGTTACACAGTGCTCTTGAACCTTTTTCGACAAGATGCACGTCGAACAAACAGTGTACCTCAGCAACAGGTGAACTGATATATTACCAACGGAATTTATTACTAGAAGCATAACGAGGGAAGATGAGAAACTTGGTAACGGAGTGTTTATTTGCAATTAGATACCACATGGATTAAAACTGTCAAGATTCCGCGTTATTCCTGTCCTTCCCTCGTAATGTGTTTCTTTGTCTTCTTCCCATTTCTCTTATGCTTTGCCACAATACTAACTAGTTTTTCATTTCTCACTGCCTTTGACGTCAAATCTATCTCTCCGTCATTTGATGCCTCTTTTTTCTGCCGGTGAACGTCTATACTACTGATAAATCTTGTCAGTAGCACACACCGCAGTAGTATAATGGCGTATATAATATGGGCGTGTATATACGCTTTAAACTATTTCATAATTTGTTATCTCAAACAAAAACAACAGCTACAACTACTATCTGTCTAGGTTAAATCCCCTTAAAAGCTTTACCGACACTGTCTCCATACGTATTCATTTTTTGGCCTTGTTTTAAGTAGTATCTTCAGAAAATAATAGAAAAAAAATGAAAAACGAGTTTAAAAAATTAACACGACATTTCAACAGAGAGACTATACTTGAAGATATATACACCCTTTGATTTCTTTACTTTTCTTCCCATTCTGATGTCATTTCTCTCTTCTCACTGTTTCCTTTCCCCACTCTCATTGACACTCACACTCACTCACTCGCACAGTCTGTCGTCTAGACTGGGACTATTATATGAGCTGGATAAGACAACTGTCATTTCTCTCTGTTTGTGTGTGTGTGTGTTTATGCGTGTAAAAGTCATTTTTTTAGTTATATATTGATAATAGTACTCATAAAGTAGCAAGTCCATTTCAGTAGTATATCCATATATATATAAATTTCAGTGTCCATAAAAGTTTTAAAACTTTGTAATGTATCCTAGTCACACGACAGATATACACATTTGATTGTAATAACAAAAAAAAACTGAATTGAATTGA